AGGTAACTACGATAGGCAAAAGAAGACTCTTAGGTCATTGATTCAAATTCTACCTATATTTGCATTCACTTAATGGTCAAAGCAACAATGGAATTGACTCTAACATCCGGCCGGAGGAAAGACTGACTACTACAAGGGCTTGTGCCAACCAACAAGAAGGGGGACGGTGCAAAGACATCTCTTGGCCAGAACCGAACATTGCCCTTTACCATCCCACCACTAGGAGACTGGGACTCGAGGCGTGGTTAAGTATTCCCTTCCGCTCTGGAAGTCAATTTATTTCCTATCTTTCGGTGAACAATATCTTTATTTTCTCTGATTTTATGTTATAGAAATAATAACTTTACCTTCCTCTGCTCTGGCAGCTCTTTCAGCTAGCAAGCTATGTTGGTTTGGGCATTTCCATCGCGAAGGATTCAAAACGAGTCCCATTCGATTGATATTCATTCAAGGGTGTGGTTTGACTGGTGAACTACCTAAAAGTCTATCTATTATCAGTTTCACTCGTTCTATTTGAAGTTGGTTATCCCCTTTGGTGCTTTCCTGGAACATTTCATTGACCTAAGGCACGATCCTCTTTCTTCTTAGAAAGGCTTGCTGACAGTGATTTTGCCGAATCAAGGCTCAGGGGCAATAAAGATAGGTTCTTTCGCTTCCAGCTGGCGGATCAATGCCAGAGCTTCCCCTCTCGGTTTTCCTAACAAAGGTTTCAGTGGGTACCGCGCTTGCTACTAGACTAAGAAAGTGGAGCAATAGACGTTCCACTTGTCCTCTTCCTTGCCCTTTTCGGAGGATAGATTCTATGTTGAATGTTGACCCAAAGAGTCGTTGGCCAAACAGGAAGTCAACTACCTACACATGCTTAGGGGGAATATTTGAGATGGGTTTGAATTGCCCAAGGAATCGATTGAAGACTGAGCGAGTAGAAAAGCAGTTGCAAGCAAGTAGGAGTCCCAAACTAAGACTAACATAGTAACTGCTATTAATATTCACTCAGCCCCTTTGGAAAAAAATGCCAACATTGTACTATTCAACCAAGTTCCCGAGGCTTATCCGAAGGAGAATTCCTCATCCCTCGATATAAAGAAGTTTAGAAGGCAAGAATTAGTTGCATTCGGGCCTCTAAAGCAAGATGAAAGTGTCCTGCTGGATAAGAAGACCTAAAAGACCAGTCAAGGGAATCCACCTTTCAACTGCCAAGCATGGGAACTTACTTATGAATCTAACCTTTTTGAATAAAGGTGAGAACTCGCTTTCAAATCCTTGCGATTCTTTCTGTGCGCCGGGGAAAAAAACCTATAGGCGAGGTCTCAAACCTAAACCTATTTACCCAGAAAGAAAATAGTAAACTGGGACTGGCTTTGCCTTCCCTATGCTAGCTTTCGTGCTCCCCTTTCCATGCAAAGTGAAATTATTAATAAATAGAAATTCTATCTGAAAGAAAGGGAATCCTATCTATAGCCTTAAGCTTAAGTTAATTAATGCTTCTTCCAAGCAATCGAATCAGCTAAAGCCAAAATGCGATGGTAATGCCAGACTTTAGTCTCTCTATTCTGTATTCAATTCTTCTTCCTTTCAACATCTTTCCTCTCGGAAATATACCCAATCAAAAGCCCTAAGTCGAAGCCTTGAGTAAAGAAAAGTACCTGCTATCTGCTTTCTTCCCTGTTGGAAGAAGGCTATCTCGGCACGAGGCCGTATAAATTGTAGATTTGCTTGGGTCCAAGGCTCTGCCGCTGGCCAGATAGGCGAAGCGGTTCACCACTCTGCTTCCAGATTTCATTGTAAGTCTATCTAATTTCATTATTGAGCGGGGCGTAGACTTGCCCGTCTTGAGGTCGATTCGTTCGGATGTCAGTACACTTCCCCACTTTTGTCACTTTCGTTGAAAATGGAGTCGGAAGGGCTCCTGTCATGCATTCGCCCATGACGACCATTCGGTAAGTTCTAGCGCTCTTTTCGATCCCAGGCAAGTCCGACTGACCGTGTACTGTGCCATAGTAGCACTCTGGGCGGAGGGGACAGCCCTAACTATACCAAAAGTGGCATAGCTAAAGACCCCCCTCTGTCTTATTTATCTCTCTTTGTCCCTGCGAGGCGATCCAGAGTCTTCTTTTGAGCTTTGTTCCTGGTCTCCGAACGCTGTAGGTCAAGCTTAGCTTCTCGGCTTCATTGCTCTCACCCGGTCGATACTATCGGAGCTTCTTGATAGTGGGCTAGCTCTGAAACCTAATCTAATGAGTGGGGTACCGCTCCTCTACTCGTACTCGCTTGTCGACTCTCTTCCCGAGGAAATCAGGTGAGACTTCCTTTCTCGCTTTGAGGCTTGCTTTGATCAGTCTGACACAGCCCCTTTTGTCACAGCGGATTCTCTTTCTGAGTCTGAGCGCTAATCTTCTTCTGACCGTACTTCCCGAGTGGATAAAACGAAAGTATGAGTCTTCCCTTTCGTTTTGTTGTCTTTGAAAAAGATGATGGCTTAAAACTGCAAAGGCTATGACCTAGAGTATGAGCAGCTCCGAATCTTGCCTCCTTCTTTGGCTTTGTTTGCCTTCCACATAAAAGGAAGAGTTTTCGCTCCAGGCCTGTCATCCTGGGATCTCCTTCTGCTCGTCCACTCGGGGATGAGCCCTACAAGACTGAGGTTGGCTACACACTTCTTTGATTGCTTGGGCGGTAATCTTCTCTATTCACCTATCCATCTACTTTCTGAATTTATGATGGCCAGGCATAGCCGGAAGTCTTTCGTAGGCTGCTCTCGAGGCAGTGGCTTTTTTCTAATCCCCCGCAGTCACCCACCATGATCGGAGCTGAGATTCTTCAGACTAGCTTGGTTAGGTCAATATCTGTAACATCGCTTCTATTTGATCTAAGATAGAGATTGGCTGAAGGGTGAGAAAGAATCAATTAAAGTAGATGCTGGCTTCAACTTCACATGCTAGAGCCCTATCTGATGAATATGATCTTGCCTTTTGGGTTGGCTAGCGCCTGTGAAGGCTCGTACTCAGTAGCTCATTTGCTTTCTTTATGATAGCAGACGTTCTCTCACTTCTTTTCTTTCTACCCTTTGACTTGCCTTCCACTGGCCGATCCATAAGAGTAGGCATTCCGACAGAGTCCATGACTCGGCTTAGCTTAATCCACTCCAGTCCCGATGCTATTGCTATGCTCGAGCCTGATCGCTCATATGATGACTTCCCCTTTCTATCGGCCGTACCGGGAAGACTAGAGTATGACCCGCTTCATTGACCGAAACCAACCTGAAAAGGAAGAGTTGGACAGCAATAGAAAGATAGAGAACTCCGTCTTCGGCCTCTCGGGCCCCTTTCCTTAGACGCTCTTGCTTTCACTCCTATTGCTTGATCGATTTAGCAGCTTTCTTCTATTTATTCTATTTCCTTTGTCGTTATCTCTTCTCTTAGACCATGAAATGACATTCGAGGATCAGGCGAACAAGATACATTCCTATGTCTTTTCCCTCCTTGCTTGCTTTACTAAGAAGTGTGAAGTAGGTATTTCTATATTCTTTGATATCGCATGCTCGTGCATACAATTTATCACCTATTCCTTTACTTGTTGCCCCCTACAACCTTTCTTTCTCCAACTCCTTACTATTGCCTTATCCTCCTATTTTGTAAGATTTTTTGTTCCATCCATCACTAAAGGAGTAGCAAAGAAGTAGCATCGATTTTCTTCTTGCAGTTTCGTTTCGAGTAGTATTGACGTTAATGATCACAGAAACCTATCTGACTTTCTTCTCGAGTTAGTTAGTTTGTGGAAACAAAAATCGTTTGTGTTGAAAAAAGACAAGCTAGCTGCTCGGCGTCTCAAATTGGTATGTCCTCGTTAGAGGGTTGAGCGAACTCGTAAAAGCGCCAGGCCCAGGCCTTTGGTTTTGGGAATACCATAGCGAGCGAGGAAAGAAGAGGAGGAGAACCCCTTACAGGGGGCTCGAATCCTAAATCCTATTGGGTAGGACAAGACGGCTGTGATTGATAGTCTGTGGGAAGGTGGATCATCCCTAGCCGGCCCCTGACTATCGGAAATGGGCCCTTCGAGGCTATCACTAACTTCTGCGCAAGAACAGATGATAGATAGAGGGGAACCCGCCGTGCTATTTATATACGAAACTCAGATTCAGATTATGTTGGCCGCTTTGAGGAGCGATCTGTTCATCCAACTAGAAATATCGTAAGAGAAGAAAGAGAGCTTTAGAAGCAGCCAATCTTTTCTTTATGCCCATCCCATGCCTTTCTTGGTTGGACCAAGGCCATTTCCGGCAAGTCTTTCTTCATTTTTAGAGCAAGTCTCCCCTTTTTCTTTGGGGGAGCAGAGCAGTCAAAGAATGAACCAAAGCACATGAATGAATTGATGGCAGCCGTCGTCCCTTTTTTAGACGCGATACAATCTCTTCCATCCACTAGTGGTATTCCTATTCCCATAGATGCTAATCCGCTTGTTGTTTCGGATACAATCGCTCAGGATGACCTGTGGGATGCTCTCGAGCAGGAAAACTGGAAACAGCTCTCCAGCTCGCGGGAATACAAATTGATAGAACGGCACAGAGAGCAATGCGGAGCAATGATCAAGTCTATTGCTGGATTATTATTATTGCAGCAATCCATTTTAGATGGTACCCTGGGGATGGCTATTGAAGACCCCACAGATATTGATAGAGCAACGAGTGTCGTTTTCGACGATCTCTTCGATCGCTTTGACACGCATCAAAAAAAGCGAAAAAACCATTGAACGAGAGTCCTGCGGAACATAGGAAATGAAAGAAGTCCGGTCGGGAGAGCATTCCTAAAAGACCTGAAAAGGTTTTTATAAGGAAGACCGAGTGATTTCAGTTGGAAATGGTATTGCAGGTCTATCAGATCAGTGGGCAACCATAGTGGACTTTTTTCGTGGTGTTGTTGACGTTGTTGAAAGCGAATTTTGTTGTAAGTCTCGCTTCAAATCTTTTCTCTTTTCGGTATGCCGCTCCGCGAGCAGAGCGAATGAAAAAAAAAATCCAACCTAAGATGAATATCCTTCGACCATTATCTCCTCATCTTCCTATTTATAAGCCACAGCTTACTTCGACGTTTCCAATTTCCCATAGAATCTCCGGAGCTTTCCTAGCCACTATCCTTTTCTTTTTTTATCTTCTTTGTCTGAAAATAGGTTTGATTTGCTTCACCTATGAGAATGTCTGCCAATTGATCTTTTATTCATCAAAGCTCATCCTAATCTCCGTCGAGATTACTGCCTTAGCCCTGTCCTACCATATTTATAATGGAGTTCGTCATTTATTGACGGATTTTTCTGGATTTGGACGAAAAAGATGGAAATGACTGTTAAAAATTTGCACTTATTTCAAATTTTTCTTTTTTTATGAAATGCTTTACTTATTATTATTAGCCTTGTTTCTTCTTTAAAGAAAGCTTATGCCGTAGAAGCTGACATCAGGCTATTGGCCTTTTATCTACATCTTCCCGACCGGAAAGGGTTCGCTTTGTTTGGGATGAACTCGCAAAGACTCGACCCGGGTTCCCTCGTAGAGTGGCGTCTTTTATAAGACTCCACTTTCTCAGTGGAACTAAAAAAAAAGAGTTTGAGCTCTTTTGGCTTACTTTTAGCCACGCGGGGCGGCTATCCGCATGTGTCCAAAAGTGACGTCCATTTTTTTGTAATGGGTATACTAGAAAAAAAAGGTTTGGAATTCGACCTCCCCTTATACGCTCTAAAAAGGGGTCATTGACTCCTTTTTTGTTTAGGATCCCCTTTTTTTTTACATTCAATTATTTATTGAGCCCGGTGTGGAATCACCATCATTACACATTCATTCTTGGTCTGGCTGCTGGTCTAGCGAGCCTTCCTAGCCGCCTAGAGTGCAGTCTACCTGCTGAAGACCGTAACGTAAGTAACTCAGTGCTTCATACAGGGGAAATGAAAGCAGAATTCGTTCGGATCCTCCCACATGTTCAATCTTTTTTTAGCGGTTTCCCCAGAGATTTTTCTCATTAATGCAACCTTCATTTTGCTCATTCATGGAGTTGTATTTAGTACCTCTAAGAAATATGATTATCCGCCGTTAGTCAGTAATGTGGGTTGGCTTGGATTACTTAGTGTTGCGCGCCTAGGAGGGCAGCGCGCTTTGGGATGCGGAGGAGCTATTATCGTCCAGCTCCCTAACCTAATGCGGCACCGGGTTTGGACCGCAGGGAACCATAGCATGGGGGGACGTCTAATCCTTTTGCCGCCGCAAGGCTGGCTAATCGTACGCAGCAGGCTCGAAAACCCCTGGTTCTGGAAGGCACATGAGTCCGAACGCTATGTTGAATGTGCGACTGACACTACACTACGTAGGTACCTGTGCAGGTGAGGCGTCGGTCGGTCCTAGAAACGGCGGCAGCGGCGCGAGGAGTTAACGACCGGACGTGCTGCAACCTAGGGATCACCAGGCAGCTCTTTCGCTCTATAGGGATCGGGGGGGCATAGCACAATTCTTCTTGGAGGAGGGTTCTTTGCCCGGGTGACTGATCCTGCCATAATGTACTCCTTACCTATACTATACACCGGCAACCGAAGTCGAGCATACATACGACAATCTTCATGCGTGAATAGCCGGGAGGAAAGAAAGGGCGGTAGATGATAATGAGAAAAGGCACCGCGTCTGGACGGGCGGGCGGAATGGATGAGCGAAAGGTGTCATGCCATGTAGTGGGGAATATCCCGAGTCTCATGTAAGACAACTAAATAGACCTCGAGGTGCTGCCGAGGAACTGAGGGACCTTATCGAGCACAGGATAGGTAATTGAAAGATAGAGCTAGCCTATTCGTTATGGGGAATCAATGCTCCGGACCGAATAGAGCTTACCTACGGCACCTGGCTTTCTCCGGTGCATATTAGCTTAGCTGCGCTTACGCGGCCGGTTTGGCTTCCTCTCTGGCGGCCACTTACCTTACCCCCGCTACACTCTCACTCCAAGCTACGCCTGCTGAGCAAGATGCATTGCGATTTCCTCTTCTGTGGACGCACCGGCGTATGACCCGGGGCGGGAAGAGAAAAAATGATCCGGCGAGCTTTCTCTCGTAAAGCCAAAGACGCCCCAAGACAAGGTCAAACTGTTGGGAAGAGGACATGGTCAATAGAACCTGGCTGGATCCGGGCTGGGATAGTGTCGCCCATTCAACATCAGTTCCGAAAGGGTTCGCTCATGCTGGAGGGAGCATCCCCACTTAGTGATCGGTCCACTAGTTCACGCAAATCCGAAGAAGTTATCACGGACGAGCCACATGCAGGGAAACTTGCACGTGTGGTTCTGGCCGGGCTTTCCTGAGGTATCTAATAACCTTGCTTCTGCTCGCCGCTGGCGCACCTCTCCTAACTATTGCCTATTTATTCTGGAATAATCTTTTTAGGAGGGACAATTTTACATATTTATGCCAAATCCTTCTATTATGTTGTACGGCTGGTACCATTTCGATGTGTTTCGATTCTTCCGAACAAGAGAGGTTTGATGCTTTTGAATTCATTGTATTAATTCCACTTCCTACTCGCAGTATGCTCTTTATGATCTCGGCTTATGATTCAATTGCCATGTATTTAGCTATTGAGCCTCAAAGTTTATGTTTTTATGTGATCGCAGCATCAAAAAGAAAGTCTGAATTTTCCACGGAAGCCGGCTCGAAATATTTGATCTTAGGTGCATTTTCCTCTGGAATATTATTATTTGGGTACGACCGGACAACTACCGATATCTATTAATATCTTTTCTTATATCTATATCGTAAACTATCGGATCGGGTATTACTTAGATGTGAAACTTGCAGACCTTATTGGTTGTGATATTACTCTTACGGGGGGAACGAAATCAAAGAATATATAGACTTGTAGAGACCCTCTATGTAGTTGTCTATCTAGGGCGATCGATCTACATCTTTCCCCATAGCCCTGGGGCTGTGTCTCGATCTCCTATGTGCGAAATCTAAGAGACTAGTTCCTATGGAGATTCCCCTTGGTCTAATTCCACGCCTTATGACGAAAGTGGAGTCGGCGTGGCGTAAAGTGAAGATTGGGGGAGTAGATAAAATTCCCTTCTGGGGTATTCCGAAGGTGTAACCTAGGCAACGAAAAAGGGGCCCGATACTTCAACTAGAGGAGCGACCAGTTGGTTCACCAAACTCCGACCCAGCGTCACACGTTCTCCAGGTCCGAAGGGATCCAGTGCCCAACTACCGACTCCTCCCGGAATTGCGTTATCGGAGTCGAGCCAGGAATGGCCGTTAGTGGGCACCCACCACTTTTCACGGTTAGAGAGGCCCTCTTTAATACATTAAGAAAAGATGTGCACAGGGGCCAGAACGACTCGGTCATAGGAATTTAGACCACCTACGTGCTGGTAAACGAAAACCACCTCGACCGGATCAGAGTAAACAACAATGTTGAATCAGGCCGCCCCTTGCCTTGAAAGAATTCACACGCGGCCGCCAGCTTTCCAAAAATAAGGGGAGATCTGCTGCTTACTGCTCACGGAAACATCCGACCTATACGTCGTTCGCGTATCTTTCTGATCTCCTTTCCTTCTATTCATCAGATTTTTTGCTTTGACGACCCATTCAAGGTGAAAAATGGGGTTGATGGTGGTTAGCTAAAAAAGGGGGGGGGGAGAGAGGAGAGCCTTGGGGTACGCTCACTTCTGCATTTTTGTTTAGGTTCTCGAGATTCTCAATCGCTCTTTTTAGTGGGGAGGAATAGTACATGAATAAATGGCGGTTCTCAGACGAGGGAATCGTTCCTCTATATATAAAAAAAGGCTAGAATGCTTCTATTGATAGAGCTTTCACGTCTGCGCATAGAATCGTTTTTTGCCCTTCCATTCTGTTCTTACCATATCATGGGTAGTTGGGTCGGAATCCGTGTGATGGTTCGAGAGTAGTTTCAAATATTCTTCGCATCCCCAGAGAGATACATTGTTGCCATTGTGACTTGGTCGTCAAAAGGAAAGGGGCACGAACAGCCTTAAAGTACTCTTCCATGTCCCAGAGGTCTTCGAGCCTTGGCATTTTGAATCCCGTTGAATGGCTGTGGTTCCGGGGCTCAAATGCGTCTGGAGTCGCCAGGTGAGACATTCGGTTCACGAACCGGAAACCTATCTCCACAGCAAGCTCCCCAATTTGACCCGGTCCGTCACGCTTTGGACATCGCCACCGGGATCGTTGAGGCCCCATGAAGATGGCTCTCCTTCACTGGGAAGACGCGGTACTCATTAGCGAGCGTCTGGTGACCAACGATTCCTGATTCTCCTGCCTTTCCGCCATAGTCTACACTTGTCCGTCCAAATGGTCGACCTTGCCATCAAGTTGGGTCATTCGATCCTTGAATGTTTCCTTAACAACAGCCGCCGCAGACAGCACTCCACTGCTATCGTCAAGCTTGGACATGGTACAACAAGAAGAGAATTAGCAGAGAAAGGGAAACAAAACTCCGCTCTGATACCTCCAAAAGCGAAATAGGCACGCGCACGGGTAGAGAGTCGTGCGGCCCAGGTAAAGCCTATTTTCGTGTAGCACCTGGGAGCAGCCTTCTCCTTGCCGAGTTTTGCTTCTGATCTCTTTCTCAGTCTCTAGTTCGTTACCTTCTACTACCGATCTTCTCCTGCTGCTTGCTTCGTTTGTTTCGTTGAGCTCGCTTTCTTTCGTTAGTTTCCTTTCTTTTCTTTAATTTAATAAAGAAACTCAAAAAAATAGAATATGAACAGCAGCAGCCAAATACTTTTAAATGAGACTAATCAGGGATGCTTCCATAAAAGACAACTATGGTATGCTCTTTTTCAAGTATGTTGCGGTCAACACAGCTTCTGCCCAAATGAGGTACATTCATCCCAAAGATCATAGCTCTAATCGTTTCCAATAAGTCTATCTTTTTACTCTAAAAGAATATACGCAAAATATCTCTGATGAACAGTGCCTCTAGAAATAAGATATTGAGAAAATCCCGTGGACATGTATTCTCCTCCAGAATCAGATCGTCCAATTCTTTTTTTTTTCATTAGGAAATAATGTCTGGCTTGTCGATTGTGTGCCGTTCACTCCAACATGGCGAAAATGATGTAAATTGGAGTGAAGAGGTAAAGTTCTTCTTGATGGGCCAGGAATGTTGGATAATTGCTGAAGGTAAACCGGAGGATGTTGGCGAGTAAGAAGCCATTTTCATCTTTTTTTGGTCTGGTGGGGCTATGCATGCGATCACAGTGTCTGTAGCTGATAAGATGCGCCCCCATATATTATGGGGGCATTACAGACCCAAGAAAGGCATGGCTTACTTTGAGGGAAGTTAATGAACATGCGA